TTTGAGTGCATATCTACTATGAGCTTTTTAGATGTTGACATGCTAGCTTAATAGCTAACAGATAAATTCAAGGGAGGGAATCGGCAATTTGGCCTTGTTTTTCAAAGTTTAATCTGGATGAAATTGAGCATTTTCTCATCCTTTCCTTTGGGATCCAGGATCGAGTAATCTTCAGGTTTTCATGAGCGATGTTGGTTTGGATCAATCTGATCCAGATACACGGTTTGGGAGGATCACAAATTCCAGATTTTCTGCAACGGGACAACTTCTGTGTTGCACATCAACCAGTGAAATGAGTTTTTTGCATCCGTTCTGCACTCTGCTTTGTTGCAGAACCATGTCCGTTTGAAATTGGGAAGCGTTTTTTGATTCTTTCGTTTACTTGGCTGTAGACTCGTATTAAAGAAGCTGTACAGGCTATATAGCCTACCTGATCTCATTAGGGTGATTATTGAACAACTGAAAATAAAACCTTATGGATATATGTGTTGATTGTAGACTGCCCAGCATGATCCACAAGTGATTATTTTTTTTAATTCAATTTAAAGGTTTGATTAGACTTTGGTGCTAAAATCCAGACTGAACCCACTTGTCATACAGGTTCAGTTTAATCAATCTCTTGATTTCTTTATCTAAATCCATAAGCTATTTTTTTTTATGTTGGGATAACTTTATTTATAAAAAACATTGTCAGGAATTGAATTGTGATTCTAAATCATAGAGGTTTTTTTTTTTTTTTAAACCAGGACCTTGTACATGTGATAGTGGTTTGCAGGATCAAAATAACCACTTCAATTATATCCTGCTCATGTTTTTAAAAGCAAGGTTTGGTTATTTTAAATTCCCAGAAACTTGTGTCACAAGGAAAAATTTTGACTGTTAGTCGATGAATGGAATCGCACAAAGAAAACCCACTGGACTGTCCTGTTGATGCTAAGCTAATGCTCCATTCCTGCATTGCTCTGCAGCATAGAAACACTTTTCTTTGTTTCTCCCAGGCCTGTTCGGTGGAGCCGGCGTAGGAAAGACTGTGTTGATCATGGAGCTGATCAACAATGTGGCCAAGGCCCACGGTGGTTACTCCGTGTTCGCCGGTGTGGGGGAGCGTACCCGTGAGGGAAATGACTTGTATCACGAGATGATTGAGTCTGGTGTCATCAACCTGAAGGACACCACCTCCAAGGTTGGGTTTGGCAGGATCCTTTTAGAAATGGTGTCCTTGACATGGTGGTATTCTTAGGAGGGTTTCCTAATGTTGTTGCCTTCCCCTGTAGGTGGCGCTGGTGTACGGACAGATGAACGAGCCCCCAGGTGCCCGTGCCAGAGTGGCTTTGACTGGACTGACTGTGGCCGAGTACTTCCGTGACCAGGAGGGTCAGGATGTGCTTCTTTTCATCGACAACATCTTCCGCTTCACACAGGCTGGCTCAGAGGTCTGCAACGCTTAATAAATTAACAGTAAATGTGGATTTTAACTCCAAATATTCCAATTAAATTGACCCCATGCCCTCTCAGGTGTCTGCCCTGCTGGGTCGTATCCCCTCTGCTGTGGGTTACCAGCCCACTCTGGCCACTGACATGGGTACCATGCAGGAGAGGATCACCACCACCAAGAAGGGTTCAATCACATCTGTGCAGGTACGGTTTTAGCAGCACAATGTCTTTGTTGCAAGTAATTCTGCAAAGTTTACTTTTTTGAAGATTGGTTTGTACTTATCCTCTGCCCTCTAGTGGAGGACAACGATATAGCATGGGGCCTGATTTGTTCATACGTTGCTAATTATACACACTATAAAATGATTTTCATTGTGTAAAAATAAAAAAAAATACAAAACTGAGTCAACTTTAGATAGCATTCAGAATATGGCTGCTAAAAACGCTGCACCAAGAACTTTTATAATAGCAGCAACCAACGATCTGAACAACCAGGCATATTTGAGTCATGCTACTTCATAGAAGATGTTGACCTTTTATTTCTTGAATTGTAAAACGTTGTTTAAATTGCAATGTATAATTATTTACTAAAGGGCAAAAAAATAAAATACAATTTGAATCAAATTAGTTGGTATGTCCTACACTAGCTAAGGAAAAAGGTGCAACAAATTTTTACTTTTAGGAACTGAGGAAAATCTCTACAGAAAATGTTATCCTTTATAAACATGTAAAAAAAATGGCAGACACTTGGCAGATAGTGGTGTCTTAACACAAAGACAAGTTGAGTCCTGTCTACTCCAAGGTAAAGCCCTCTGTACAAAGGACGTTCATGTATGTTAAGGGAAAGAACTGCGTTATGTGTAAAACTGCAACATGCATGGAGTTCTTTCCCATGTTCTCAATAACTGACTGGCTTGAGAAATATAACTGCTTGACTCCAAATGTAAAAGTGATGCTAAGTCATAGTATAAACGGTGTCTAAATACTTGGTCAGAGCTTAAGCCTAAAAAATGCAGTCAGCAGCAGGTTCCATCATGCACATTTAGGAGGCAACTGAGATTATTCTTAAATAGAATTGAGTGTCTACAGCCGTAAATTGAATTCCTTAATAAAAATATTGTGGATCCTCGAGTTGTTTGCTGAACCGTCTTTGACATTTATACTTTTTTCTCTCCAGGCTATCTACGTGCCTGCTGATGACTTGACTGACCCCGCTCCAGCCACCACCTTCGCTCACTTGGATGCCACCACTGTATTGTCCCGTGCCATCGCAGAGTTGGGCATCTACCCCGCTGTCGACCCTCTGGACTCCACCTCCCGTATCATGGATCCCAACATTGTAGGAGCCGAGCATTACGACGTCGCCCGTGGTGTGCAGAAGATCCTCCAGGTTGGGGAATGGATTTTTTATTTTAAATTTATTACTTCTAAATTTTTCTTACAGTAACCGGTTTCTCTTCTTGCAGGACTACAAGTCCCTTCAGGACATCATCGCCATCCTGGGTATGGATGAGCTGTCTGAGGAAGACAAACTGACTGTGGCCCGCGCACGTAAGATCCAGCGTTTCCTGTCCCAGCCCTTCCAGGTGGCTGAGGTCTTCACAGGTCACTTGGGCAAACTGGTGCCCCTCAAAGAAACCATCAAGGGCTTCAAGAGCATCCTTGGAGGCAAGTTCAGGAAAATTCTTAGAACTGTCCACAGTTTGTCCTCAAGATCTTAATACGTCAAAATAACCCTTCTCTTTTGTTGTTCTAGGAGAGTATGATCATCTGCCTGAGCAGGCCTTCTACATGGTTGGTCCCATTGAGGAAGTGGTCCAGAAAGCTGAGAAGCTGGCTGAGGAGCACTCATAAACACCTAAACATTCTGATTAGAGAGGGGGAGGGTCCTGTGGTTAGGAGCACTTGGTTTGTAAAACATGTCAACATACAAATGTACCTGTCATGTCATCCTGAAGAAAGTTCTATTTAATGTTTCCAGAGAAAGATGGAATAAATCGCTGTCTTTACACAAACAGACTTGTCAAATGCATATTTCATAAGCTTTATTGTAATAGAGCTCTGTCCCTAGTGAGGAATCTCATAAAATGGTTGTCCTCTACCCCGACCACAAGATGGCGTACTTGAGCTGTTATTTGAAATGTGTTGCAGATTATGTTTGGAAATAAAACGACAATTAGAAACTTGATTGTCTCCAACTTTAAAGGTGGTCACTTCACATGGTGGTACTACAGCTTAGAGGGATAATGCTTAGGAAACATTGGGAGGAGGCAACTTATTTGTAAAATGAACAGCATTATACATGTTTTAAGAGGTTTAGTGTAACTAGGTATTATGAAATACTTGAAGCAAAGTGTCGAAACTCAAAAGCAAATATTAAGAGTGATACAGCAAGTAGACTACATGATTGCCTGTTTTAATCCACAAAGCATTTATTGAGCTTTCATTGCCATTTCAAAACGCTGAATTTACACCACTTAAACTTAAAAGAAGCAAAGTTACTTTTCCTGAAGGACATTTGGTCCATTTTTAAACACCAAACCTTCAGGTGGAGGGAGACGTTTGTATAAAAATGACAGGTCTTCTAGGAAGGCTTTAAACTAAAGAGTGATGCGGTCTTAGGGTAAAGATGCTCCCTTTCAACTTATGTAAAATTGCTCTTGCCCAACGGTGATATCAGTTGTATCTAATCTTGGAAGGCTGCTAAAGATTAAAATCCAACCCTTCCATGCCCAAAACAAACTATTGTCCCTTAACTGAAGCTCCTTTCTAAAGAATAGATGTGTGCCAGGGTGCACAACAGCAGTGATCTTGGAATCAAATGCTGTCAATCAAGTGGAAGACTTTGGCTACGTTCCCACTGCAGGTCTTGATGCTCAATTCTCAATTTTTTTTGTGTTGCCCTTCCCAAAATTCAAATATGTGATCTGTGTGAACTGCAGCCATACAACACAAGTCTCCTGCAGGCCCAGTAGAGGACGCAATGACCTCACAGGCTATCGTCCTTTGTGTTTATGGAAGTAAGCATGGATGGTAGTACTGGAGGGCATCTAGCGCACAATCTTTTCAGGATGGTTAAAGATAAATACTGCTCTCGGCATCATCGTCTGCCAGGGTTCTTTTTCTTGCCACTTCTTCATAGAAAGACCCGGAATAGTGACAATTGTTGGGTATTGATGGCGTTCAGGTTGAATAAATGCAACCTGGTCGTTCAGATGCAGGTTGCATTTGAAAAGATCAGATTATATCGGATTCAGGACCACAGAGCCAAGTGGCCTGGGTTGGGCCGCTATGAGCAAAAAAAAAAAAAAAAAATCAGATTTGGGTCACTTTAGGCTGCAGTGTGAACGTAGCCTTTGAGGCCATCAATGTCTGAGAAAATTCAAATCAAATAATCAGGCTCTAGTATTCGTCTGATTCCACTGTATAAACACAGGTTTTATAAAACGGATTTCCATTCTGGGCATATAGAATGCTTAAATTCTTTCTGAAAACGAGATGTTAGTCCTGCCGCAGCCTGATTAGTAATGATATAAGAAGTAGGCTGGGTGTTTTATTGCTTTTCCTTAACCTTTAACACCTGGCTATCATCAATGCTGAGCTTTCTTTGAACAGAGGATAAGGTGGCCTTGAGAATGTCCTTGAGACTAAAGTTTGGCCTTGTCATTATAGTAAACAATTCAAAACGTGTGAGCAGACTCCCGAAAGTATTACAATGAGTATTGCATGAAGTAGATGCACAGCTGGAGGGTTACTGTAACTTCTTGGCAATAGGAATGGCAGTCTTCAGGAAGATGTAGTCAACCACGCATGTTGGCATGTACGACAGCGGCAGCCAGAAAAACTTGGCGTCCCAACCGGGGGAGTAGCGCTTGCGCGGCCAGACAGCGGACACGGCGTGTTCCATGCAGCTCACCACCTTCATCAGATCACCGTCACTCATCTGGGCAACCTTTTCTTTTATCACCTCTTTTGCTAGAAAAACAAAAATAATCAAATTAAGCAAATACGTTGAGAATGGTAGAAATATGTGGAAGATTTCTGGTTACTTTTTCCGATGTAGTCAACCCCGTAGTCGTCTTTGACGTCCTGCGGCAGTCTGGCCCACAGCGTTTCTGCATTTTTGATGTGGATTTGGCTGTCTGTGACACTGGTTTTGAAGAACCCTGGCTCAATGCAGAGGACTTTGACACCAAACGGAGCCATGGTGAACCTGAGAGGAATGCATTTGTATTCAAAACCAGAAAGCATGTAGTAGGCCTACATTGGCAGATTAGTCATAACACGGGTTAATATTTCACCGGAGACTATCGTTGAATGCCTCAACTCCGAACTTTGAGACAGGGTATGGGCCCCCAGTGACACAGATTCTCCCAAACACGCTTGCGACATTCACCACTCGGCCCCTGGCCTTCTTTATCAAAGGCAGGACGCTTAGTGTGGAGCCGATCACTCCGTTCAGGTTCACCTCCAGCATTAACTTGTAATCGTCAAGGGTATGCCAATCGCACGGGCCGGAAGGAACAGCAATACCTGCATTGTTCACCACAGCCCAAAGACCTGAAAAGACACAAATTTAATGTACAACTCAAAATAAGAATGCAGATTTTAAGTAGAAATTGTAAAGTATGCACAAACTCAGTGCACAAATTAATATTTGCTGATGCATAGCTGTCCATCTATAACCCAACTCACCGCGCTCTCCCACTTTGTCCTTAATCATGGCAGCAACTTTGGCCAAGCTCTCCTTGGAGGTAACATCTAGGTGAGTTGTGATGAGTTTGTCAGAGCAGGCCTTCCTCAGTCCCTCCTCTCCCTTTTCGGTGTAACATCCAGCGATCACTCGGAAGCCCAACTTGTCCAGATGGCGAGCCAGGAGGTTCCCGAAGCCGCTGTCGCAGCCTGTGACGTACACATACTTGCTGGCCTTATCGCCCACCCTGGGCACCTCTCTGATCCAACGGAACAGGTAGAAGAGGACGACCAGGCCAAGAAGATACAGGAACATGTCTGTAATTTAAACGGTTGTTCTTATTAGTTCCTGTACATCAACAGGAGCAAGCTGTAAAAAAAACAAAAAACTTTTAGAAATATTTTTTTGAAATCTAAAAATTAAAGTTAAACTACTCTAAGCTTTAGTTATTTCCACACAAACATCGCCATGTTGTTTGCATTGCAATGCATTCTGGATAATTTACGTCTGCTAAGTCCTGTAGTGCTATCTATGTCTTGCCTAAACCTAAAAGTTGCACCTTTGCAGTTTGAACCAGAGTGGGTTGAAAGCAGAGGTGTCCCTTAAGTAGTTTTTAGGTACCTATACTTTACTCCATTACTTCATTTTCTTCCTACTTCTGACTTCTACTCATTACACTTTCACACAAGTATCTGTACTTTCTATTCCTTACATTTTTAAAACAAACTTTACTCATTAATCTTGGCTTCGGTTTAATGTTTACAAATATATATTTCAGGTCATGTGCGCCATCCAATGCACATGACCTCGTGCACGTTTCAAATTTGCTGTTCTCATAGCTCATGCAAGCTTACTGTGTCCATATACAGCAGGGACTTAACAGTGGACTTTATAGGGAACTCAGTTAAAGTCGTAGTGAAGCGGCTGTTCCAACCGTTGCGTTTCCGAAATTTTCCCAAGAAGTGCCCGACTTTACACAGGTGAATAAAGTGAATGTGATTGGTCATTTATCAAGGGGGCGGGATTGTTGTGGCGGAAGGTTCGCCAGCATGTTTGGTTGTGGCCGGTTTGTCGGAAGCATCTTGCTAACCAGTTAGCAACTTAGTACTAGCAGTTTCCCAATGGCAAATTACATTGGGACCAATTAGCACTTAGTAACGACACTGTCAAGGAATGCTATGGACAGCATAAAACATGCAGAGTTTTGTGTCGGAAGTCGTGGATACATTTTTTATTTAGAGGAGGAAAGCGGGGACAAAGATGTTGTGGAAGAGGACGCCAGGGCGGCAGAAGCTTGGTTTGGTGTAGAAGGCTTCCAGCCGTACATGCTGGAGCCCTATCCTCGCAACGCTGCCAGTTCTGTTAGCTCTACGCCTGCCGGAGACACAGACGTCCATCAACGTGAACACTGGGACGGAACTCAATGGGAAAGTAAATAATTTTTATTTCTTATTTCATCCGTTGCGTATACTAGCTGCGACATATGAATCAAGATGCTATGACCGAAAAAATGTGATTGACAGATGACCGTTGATATATGATTGGCTGAATTTAGGTGTTCAGGCTGACGTATAACTGGCCTGCATAAAATTACGGAAAAAACAGATTTTAAGACAGGATTTTTTTGAAAATAGGAATTTTCAAAATTTTGTGACATATGGTCTGATTAAGAATACATTTATAAACATATTTAAGCCAGAATGATTTGACATTTAAATATGACTTCCATATGACTGGTCATCCTAGTCAAGGGCACATTGATGACTTAAGGGCGGATTATACTTCTACAACTCGCTTGTGTCTTGTTGTGAACCAGTTTTGCTGGCATGCTTCTGCACCGTCGTTCTGCAATTTCTAGGGATGGACAGTAGTTTCCCGCCAAAGCGCAAAGAGCCTATTCGAGAACTCGCAAGATCTTCGGCGGATGGTCACGAGAACTTCTTCGTCTGCACCGCCTGGAGTGTTTATTTTCCAAAACAACAATGGCCCGTCTGGAAGATATCACGGACACGGAGATGGATCTAGAGTATCCATTGTTTTTATTCCTTGGCTTTCTAAAAATGACGCGCCCAGGCACCGAATCGAGAAGGGCGACCACACAGACAGCCAGAAAGTTATACCAAAAACCAATCACAGCTGCTTTTTGTCTGCGCACTTCTGCTTGAGGTCTGTGCGGGTTTGCAACTGTCTGACATGTAGTCAAGATGTGCGCGACGACGGTTGCAGAGCCTCTGCGCGGGGGGCGTGGTGGCGCGCAGAGACAGATTTGTCGGTTGCACAGGCTATGCGTCAGAAGTATAAACAGAACAGAATGACATATAAAATCGTTTATGATTTTGCTAATTCACGTAAAAGACTGGGCTAAAATTAAGTCAATGAAAAAGATCTAAGGCCAAAACCAATGCGGACATATGGACCCAGTCTGTTTTAATAGTGGTGTATTTTATTTGACCATTTGCTGTCAGTAAAAGTCCCCAAAACATGGGTGACATGTTCTACCCCTGCGATAAAATCATACAGAAGGGACACAATTTTGATGATTCCTGGTGTGATTGGAGAGACTTGAAGAGAGTCTTCATGTTCGAGAAACCATCCAATGTGGATAAATTCTTGCATTCTGGTAAGAACAGGTAAAAATTTCCCTAAATCAATGGAAAATGGCCCAACCTGGTCCAGAAAGCTCCTTCGATAAAATCTGTTTAAACTCAAGTTATTTTTCTGATATACATTTTATTTGATAATCTAAAAAAAATGTATTATTGCAACTAAAAGGCTTAAAAAATAAGAAAAATGTAAAGGGGCAATTTAAAAAATGAAGTAAATACAGGTCTTGCCCAACTTTCCAGCAAATACTGACATTCAAGGTGCATACTGTTCAGGGTTTAAGAAGCCTATCAGATTAGCTAGCAGATATGCCCTTCACGGTGCAATTAAACCTCACATTTGATTGCACCATCCTTTAGTGAGCAGATTAGACAGACTGAGTTTCTTTTTTATTCAGATAGTTGATTTATCATCCAGATTCTGTGCTTGCAGCTGCCTTTTATTTCAGCATGTGCTTCAAATCTGATGTTTTTCTAAAATCGTTTTTCAGAGCCGGAGCAGCTTTTTCAGCAGCTAAGACAGAAAAAACAAAATTACCCAACGTCTGAACCGGCAACAGAACCAATCTGGTTGGCCCAAGAGCTCTTTAGAAACTATTTGATCTGAATTGGTTTTAGAGAGAGAAGTGCCATCAGACCAGTGCGGTTTTCCATTTTGTCCAGTTTGTTTTGATCTTATGGTCATTTGTAGACACCTTCATATGACCCCTGAATACATGTAAGACAATTTTATGATAATTTAATATAATAAATGAAGCTTATATTGCAATTGCTTTCATCTTAAAGATTATAACACATAAGCTATGGCATAATATCTGCTTATTCTGCGTTTTTTGGTTTCAAGCTCTCTATGGATCAATATCAGGGCTGCAACTAATTAATATTAATAATTGATTTTATCCAAATTCAGCTAACTCTGCCACTTGAAGACTTCTAGATAGAGCATATTGACAGACAAAAATTATTTTCTCTTGAATGCAAACTGTTTTAGTGTAATTACTTCTCGGAGGTGGTTGGTCTTTAAGCTAATGCCATATTTTGGAGTCTCTATACTCCACTTGACGATTAATTAGTTGATCAATATTTCAATAATTGACTAATAATGATTAATCCAATGACTGTTTAAGCCCTACATCAGACTGATTCTTGGGTTCTCTCTTCATCCCCAACCAAAGGATTTTAAGTCTGGTTTAGAGGCCAAATATTTTCGTCCATAAATCCTTGTATTTTAAATGGTCAATAATGCCATGAACTCCAATAAGGTTCTCAAGAACTCTTTAAAGGCATACTATGCAACATTTTTCAGTTAATGTGTTCCATAACGTTTTGGATGATTAAACGAGTCATTTCAGGTCGAACAAAGGTTTTCTCGGCCGCCCTGGTGGTCTGTAGGGGAAATACCGTACTTGCAATTGCAGGAGCCCTCGGCCCGCACCCACAGGCTCAGAAGTCTCGTGCATCGCAAGAGTCGGTCTTGCTTTACGGCGAGAACTGCTACACGCCCCCAGTGAAAGGCATGCTAGTTGCTAGTGCAGTGGCAATATTTGTGCAGTTACTATGGCGGAACCAGCGAGAAAACAGCGAAAGCCCATGTCGGAAACATGCTAAATTTTCAAACTCGAAAATCGGAACAAAATAGTCACTTAGAGACATGGTGATTCATCGCGTTCGCCTGTCTGCTAAGCTCAAAACAACCGCGCCCGGCTTGACGGAGAAACCAGGAGAACAGCTGAGCATATTTACGACAGTGCACTTTTACTTTCGCCATCTGGGGGGAGCCTCGCTGGAAAATCAACACCGGTTGCATAGTATACGTTTAAAAGCCTACACCTGGTCCGCTTTACTTACCAGTGAGAATAAAACAGTTTCCCTAAAAGATTTTTTTTCTTCAAACCAAACCCAAATGGAGTTTTCTTTTGCTAAAACGATTAATTATTGTCTAAAGCACATGGGCACAGGAAAAGTCTTGGATAGGTTTAACAATTTCCTGGCGTTACCAGCCAAACTGAATTAAACAGGAGGTAATTCAGGCTGATAAAGCTGATGACCAATTACAGCACAGGAGGCGGGTCCATCATGCTGAAGGGCTCAGCTGCGTTTTCATTATGCTCTTTATAATGTCCCAAAAGAAATATTTTTTTTCTAATTTTAACAGCTGGCTGCCGTATAATCGTTATAAAAAACACTTTTTTGCATCATCTGATTGGTTCTAAACTGTTTCCGCTAACCCGGATGCTTGTGTCACACTTAGGTCTGCGATAACTCTGCTAAAACATCTCTATTTAGATTTTATTTACCAATCTGGATCCGCTAACCTACAGAGGAAGTACCTTTATTTTTTGTTGCTTTAAAGTCAAAATTTTCGCCGTTTTTTTTTCTTGTAATGTATTTCAAGTATTCAAATAAGCCGTTTCTTTAAAAGCACCATTCATGTTTGTTGTTTTTCTCTCATTTTATATTTTTTCCACTCTTTTTCTTCATCAGAACATAACATTTCAGTCAATTTAACCTCCAGATATATATCCGAGCTATGGATCCATTAAGAATTGTTAAATTTAAGGCCTCCACAATTCATCTTAAGGTAGGAATTAAATCCTGTTATCTATTTCCTCTGTCACTTTAATTATTATTATTGTTATCATTATTATTAATATTAAGTAATATTATTTACAATTGATTCATTGGAACACAGTATAAATATGAACAAATAATTGTGTTAAATAAATTTGCATATTTATTCCAGATCAGCTTAAGATACGTTTGCTTCTTAAGGAATTGTCAGTCATTTAAAAGCAAATTCAATCAGCTTAATTTATTTTTATACAAATTATTTTGTTCTACACACATAGAGCACAATGGGAACTTAAGCTCAGTGTTTTAGCTGTTTTGAAGCTGGAAGTGTACAGGTGCTGGTCATAAAATTAGAATATCATGAAAAAGTAGATTGATTTCAGTAATTCCATTTAAAAAGTGAAACTTGTATATTATATTCATACATTACATACAAACTCATATATTTCAGATGTTTATTTTGTTTAATTTTGATGATTACAAATGACAACAAATGAAAATCTCAAATTCATCATATCAGAAAATTAGAATATTACTGAAGACCAATAAAAACAAAGGATTTATAGAAATGTTGGCCAACTGAAAAGTATGAACATGAAAAGTATGAGCATGTACAGCACTCAGTATTTAGTTGGGCCTCCTTTGGCCTGTATTACTGCAGCAATGCGGCGTGGCATGGAGTCGATCAGTCTGTGGCACTGCTCAGGTGTTATGATAGCCCAGGTTGCTCTAATAGTGGCTTTTAGCTCTTCTGAATTGTTGGGTCTGGTGTATTGCATCTTCTTCTTCACAATACCCCATAGATTTTCTATGGGGTTAAGGTCAGGAGAGTTTGCTGGCCAATTAAGAACAGGGATACCATGGTCCTTCAACCAGGTACTGGTAGCTTTGGCACTGTTTGCAGGTGCCAAGTCCTGTTGGAAAATGAAATCTGCATCTCCAAAAAGTTGGTCAGCTGCAGGAAGCATGAAGTGCTCTAAAACTTCCTGGTATGTGGCTGCGTTGACCCTGGACCTCAGAAAACACAATGGACCAACACCAGCAGATGACATGGCACCCCAAACCATCACTGACTGTGGAAACTTTACACTGGACTTCAAGCAACGTGGATGAAGTGCCTCTCTTCTTTTCCTCCAGACTCTGGGACCTTGATTTCCAAAGGAAATGCAAAATTTACTTTCATCAGAGAACATGACTTTGGACCACTCACCAGCAGTCCAGTCCTGTTTCTCTTTAGCCCAGGCAAGACGCTTCTGACGCTGTCTGTGGTTCAAGAGTGGCTTGACACAAGGAATGCGACAGCAGAAACCCATGTCTTTCATACGTCTGTGTGTGGTGGTTCTTGAAGCACTCACTCCAGCTGCAGTCCACTCTTTGTGAATCTCCCCCACATTTTTGAATGGGTTTTGTTTCACAATCCTCTCCAGGGTGCGGTTATCTCTCTTGCTTGTACACTTTTTTCGACCACATCTTTTCCTTCCCTTCGCCTCTCTATTAATGTGCTTGGACACTGAGCTCTGTGAACAGCCAGCCTCTTTAGCGATGACCTTTTGTGTCTTGCCCTCCTTGTGCAAGGTGTCGATGGTCGTCTTTTGGACAACTGTCAAGTCAGCAGTCTTCCCCATGATTGTGTAGCCTATAGAACTAGACTGAAAGACCATTTAAAGGCTTTTGCAGGTGGTTTGAGTTAATTAGCTAATTAGAGTGTGGCACCAGGGGCCATCAATTTTGAACCTTTTCACAATATTCTAATTTTCTGATATGATGAATTTGAGATTTTCATTTGTTGTCATTTGTAATCATCAAAATTAAACAAAATAAACATCTGAAATATATGAGTTTGTATGTAATGTATGAATATAATATACAAGTTTCACTTTTTAAATGGAATTACTGAAATCAATCTACTTTTTCATGATATTCTAATTTTATGACCAGCACCTGTATATGATGGTATCCAAGAGCTGAGCCAACAAAACAGCAGTTAAGAAAAAGAAGAAAAACATCAAGGATGCTTTTAACAAAGAGTGCAAATCATCAGTAGATTTAGTTTCTAAAATATTCCCTTTTTGACAAGATATGAATGCAAAATGCATTTAACAGACTTAAGTCATGTTTGTCCCAGTCATCCATCTTTGGGTTAAGGAGAACAAAAGCTGTTTGCTTTGCAGCCCCACTCTGCAACATCATCAGCCTTCAGAAAATTTTATTGTGTTTTGCTACTTTCTTTTATTTATTTATTTTTCTTTTTAATTTTTAAACAAAGCCAAACACAACTTACTATTTAAACGGTGTCAGAAGGCCAGAATTTTAAATATTAGTATATATATATTATATATATATATATATATATATATATATATATATATAATATATATATATATATATTATATATAATATATATATATATATATATATATATATATATATATATTTTTTTTTTTTTTTTTTTATTATTATTTTGGCATCAACGTGGTTCCATACTGGAGCTGCAGATCACAGGCTCGTCTTTCACCTCTTTCTTCTCTAACAGACACTTATTTAATGAAGTGAGTTTAAACCTACCAACTAAAATATATCACATTCAGCAGGTTATTAATTAAGAAAGGTAATTAGAGGTCAAAGCCTAAAACATGACGTCACGTTTTCGAGAGAAGTACTTTGTAGAAAGTTTCAAACGTTTTCCTAAAAAGTATCGAGAACTGAAACTAAGCTAGACACAACAGTTCCTTTTCTTTTAAGATGACAAAAGGAGGAAACTCTCATGCCGCCATGTTTTGTTGCAAGACTGAGATAACATTCAGAGATCGATAGAGTGCATGGAGAGCAAAAAGCAAAATAATGTGCAGAGTGGCATCGGATTTCACCGCACTGTTAATCTGTCAACATTCCTGGATTATATGCTGGAAAAGTTAGGGAAAGGAACTCCAGTCTTACCTGCGGCACTGTGAATGTCCGTGGACTGACAGAGTGTCTTCTGTTGGAGGGGACCTAATGAGATAAAAAAAACAAAAACAAGAATCTGATAAGTTGATGTCGAAACACGAAATACCATGCGCCACCTAGTGGCGAAAGCTGGCGCATTACATATACAACAGATTTTAAAACAGCCCTTAGGATATAAAATAGAATAGAATAGAATAATATTGAGCATAATAGAATAGAATAATATAGAATAGGATAGAATAGAATAGAACAGAATATAATAATATAGAAGAGAATAGAATAGCAGAGAATAGACTAGAACAGAATTTAATAGAACAGAATATAATATAATAATATAGAACATAATAGAATAGAATAATATAGAATAGAATAGGATAGAATAGAATAGAACAGAATATAATAATATAGAAGATAATATAATAGAAGATAATAGAATCGAATATAATAGAACAGAATAGAATAGAGTAGAGTAGAATAGGATAGAATAGAATAGGATAGAGCAGAACACAACAGAATGGAATATAACAGAGCATAACAAAATAGAATAAAATAGAATAGGACAAGATAGAATAGAATATAAAAGAAAAGAACAGAATAGGATAGAATAGAATAGATAAAAAACCCCACCATAGAATAGAACAGAATAAAAGAGGATAGAATAGAAAAGAACACAACAGAACACAACAGAATAGAGTAGAATAATATAGAACAGTACAGAATAGGATAGAATAGATAAAAACAGAATAGAATAGGATAGAATAGAACAGAACACAACAGAATAGGATAATATAGAACAGAATAGAATAATATAGAACAGAATACAATAGAATGGAATAGAACAGAATAGAATAGAATAAAATTATATAGAACATAATAGAATAGAATCATATAGAACACAACAGAATAGAATAGGATAGAATAGAATAGAAAATCCCTTTATTGTCCCACAATGGGGGAAATTCTGGTGTTTAGTGCAGCAAAAAGATTATAGAAAAAAATGGTCAAACAAATGTGGACCCTAGAACAATGTATACGAATAGCTTAATAGTGAAGAGTTGAAAAATAAACAAATACTGTACTGTAAAGAGTTTTAACAATATAAAACATTTCCGTACATTTCCAATTACTTCTAGCATTTATACTTTGAAGCACAAGTTAAAATGATAACTTTTGCAATTTGAGTGTTTGGAAAATATGAAAATTTGAAATAAAAATCAAAAACTTTAACCTGTGCAACCTTCTATTGGATGAAGTCCACATGGGATTTATCCAGAGCCAGAACTCAAAGGTGTCCAATAACAGTATAAATACTTTGTTTTGCTTTTACTCACTACATTTGAATACAAATGTCTTTACATTTTATTTCTTTCTTCCTAAAAACGGCTCATTAATTCCGTACATATCGATAACGACGTGATGATAAAGTCCAACACTGATAGCTGAATATAGGGGGCATTGCCGATGGATCCGACTCTGATGAAATACATTCCCCATCCATTCCCTCTTAATTCATTTATAAATGTACATTTCCTTAAATCTCACAGGCTAATGAAACCAAGCTAACATTAACAAATGCAGAGTTGGTGAAAAGATAGAGCAAAAAAGTTTTTAATAAAAAAATAGATATTTTTCAGTCCAGATAAGATCTTGGAGACTGGCTGAGCTCCAACACCAAACAGCGAGCGAGGCTTTCTGTTTTGACCTTTAAGCGTTTTTTATTGAGATTTCTTTGGATTTTATTATAATATAAGGCCAGAAAGGGCCCATAAAGGTTGCGGTTGTTTATTACTTTCATCAACATGCCATCAATGAAGGTGAAGAGTGTTGGCAGGGGACCCGGGGCCTTAGGAAACTTTATGCGCCTTCAACTTTTCCACATTTTGCTGCATTTTAACCATTTCCTTTATTTTTTATTTATCTTTTAGCTGTTGAATCAGGTCTAGATATGGAATATTCATTAATATCTGACCAATATCTGCATCATATTTCTATACATTGAAGATAATCTTAGCATTCATCACCAAAACAGTCCCTGTGGGTTTAATTCTCCACCTTTTTTGTTTTTTGTTTGCACAATTTTGAACTAAAATCTAATATATTTGTATATATCTTTAATTATATGATCTATTTTTACTTTTTTCTTGCCGCTTCTCTTTTCTTTGCAGCCGTGGCTGGGTTTCCTTACCTAAAGCGTTCCTCTAAGTGCATTACAGGGCATATAATGTGTTAAAAAGAAAAATGAGAAAGTACATAATAAAAGTGCTCCCCTTCCCCTCTGATACCCCTAAATATCTTCTTATCTTTTGGAGATTTCTATTCTGTTGTCAGGTTTTAAGAAAAAGGGGGAGAAATACAGTTGATTTCACATTTTTAAGACTTTTATTCTTGTAAACTTTTACGAAAAAAAACAAAAACAAAACAATAATATTGCAACAAGCAAAACAGCATATTGTGATAAAATACACTGAAGCTTATTGTAAATTATGAAGAAGTTCAAGAAGTGTGAATATTTTAGGAAGAGATGCAAAATACTTTATACATTAATGCTTCCCTAGCTTCTAAAGCTGGAATTTAAAAGAAAAATCTTTTATTACGTTTTTTTTTTTTTCTAAGGTTATTGTGTTTTATTCCATGCAAGGATGCAGACAATGAATCTTGCTACAAAAAAACACTTTCAGTCTGCCAGGAATCACACTGGGGAAGTTTTCTTGAGTGGGGAGCTGTTCACATATCTTCCACCAGGTGGCAGCAGTGTAGTTTCCGGATTCATTTCCTGTCACACTTTCTTTCACTTCTGGGGGAGAAAAAAAAAATACCACACTTACAAAAGAGAACAACAAATTGTAATTATTTAAATACTATCAGGTGTTTACTTGATGCCAGTCCCTCAGTGAGTTCTAGAAGCACAAGATCTATGATATCCAGCCATTCAGTAAAGATGCTGCTACATGACTGTACATCTTATTTAAAGATTTTACTAATTAGATTAACAAGTCAAGAAAAAAAGTTAAAAAGCTAATTGAAAAGATCAAAAGAAAAGTAAAAAAGTTAATAAGCCAAGTTAACAATTACATTTAGGTCTATAAACTAAAAACATAAGTGTCAGTATCAGCATTTTTGTGTTTTTCAGGAATTTCTTATAGAAGCACTTTTGTTATTTTCCTTAATATATTCGGGGAAGTTAACGTTTCTTGTTATTGCATTGATGATAATTTTTGCCATCAAAATGTTACAAAGGTAACAAGATCTTGTCCTGGATTCCAGTAACACAATTGGCTTAAAATGTTGATTTTCAAAGTATTTCCTGAGTGCCCTATAAATCAGTTCATTTTAAACTTGCAGCTGCTGTCTGTTAGTTAGGAGGCTATTCTGCATGAAGCAACATTGCATTTAAAGTATCAGATGCAGAGTTTTACAGACGTTTTTTTTTTTGTTGGATTTGTCCTGATAACATTTAAAGGCCGGGGTGAACGACCAGCTGTTCACTGCAACCCACTTGTTTTCATGTACAAAAGCAGGTAGATTGTTGTCATGATGAACCTCAGAATCACATTCAAACGAACGAGGACAAACAATTATCTGTGCGTTGAATTTTTTTTCTATAGAAATCTGCCGTAAGTTTCTATTTAAGAAAAATTAATTTTTAAAAACCAGATTTCAAGAAAGCATAGATGAAAAACTTTTCTTTAAATGCCAGTTTGTTCTACTAGCCGAGAAACTTTTATGTGGAAAAGGGCAATTTTTTAATGTTTTACTCTATTTTAGGCTCTATTAGTTTACCTTCAACATTTTTTATAGATGTTAAGCATTTTGTGCTTCAGTCTGAATGTGGCTTTTGGCCAACATGAACGACCAGATGTGTAGCTAGAAGAGGGCATTAACCACCGGTGCACTGACAGACCCCTCAGGAGCCAGTTCCTGACCGGACAGTAATCTTCCCGGGTCACTTTACATTCTTTTGTTGGTTTAAGAAACAAATTTACATAATTTTGATGCAAATATCATAAGATTTGAGTATATTTTGTATCCAGGGGTGAATCTTCAATCGCTGAAGTTCTGTTTTATGCCAAATTTTGACATTTGGCATTCTTTTCTGCACAGGTTACCATCACAATTACAATATATACAAGGATTTAGTGTTGTTTTATCAAAGCACTGACATCTATTTACACTGTGATTGCTTTATCATTATATGCAAATGATCTTTTGAAGCCCTGTGTATTAATACATTTTCATTAATATGAAAAAAATATATATTTTCTTTTCTTAAAAAACAAAACAAACAAAAAAACAGAAACTTTATTTTCTAAGTGTTGCATTTCTGGTTGTAAATGAATGAAGACTAAAGCTGATCTAACCAATGACAAAGAAACCCCTAAACATATATTTATTTAAATCTCTATTCATATTTTAGAACCTTAAATGAAAATACACAAGTAAGTAAATATAAAAAATATTTAATTACCCTTTTCAAATTCACCTTCACAAATATAATACGATTTTATGGTTTTGTTTTAATTATGACCTTAATTTTTCAATTAACCCCCAGGGTACAATGCTTGTTAAGGGTTGAACAAAATGTAGTTGAACATCTTTGTAGGTATTCATGTAATAGACATTAAAACACTCTAAATAATGGAATAAATATGTTACTTGAATCTGTATTTTGAGATATTAAGAAGTGGTGTCAAGCAAAAAAAAAAAAAAAACGAGCATTTAAAAGTAAGTGAAAATGATTCAGCTAATATCATTGAATTTAAAAAATAGACATAAAAAACAATTTTTCTGTCATCCAAATGTTTTTTCTATTTCTCTCTGTTCTTTTACAAACATCTCCCCCACTGAGAGCATAATTGCAAATATTCTAGATGCTCTGTTTAATACAATGCCTCACTTTGTATATCTTGCATTTGACCAAGATCTGTCCATCTTGGAACGCCATGACAAAGAAGAGGCCAATCCCATCGTAACGGATATCATCAAAGGGATGTTCAGTGACATTTTTGATGGGTTTTCTGATCCTGTGGAAGAGTATCTTCTCTGATGTTCACGTCAAATGACTCCTCTGGAA